ACAGAAGCCACAATGTATTTGCCATCCTGCAGGGCAATGGATCGGATTTTGCCACCATCCAATGCTCTTTCACCCTTCTCAATCACACTGGACATAGTTTGAAAAAAATCACCTATGGCTGCAACACTAACGAAGGCCATGATAGCTCACACCATGCCCAAACACGTCAAACACAGCCTGCAGCCCAGAAACGTGCAAATGTCCGTAACGTACTATTGTTTTCACGTGGTTTTCACCAAATGTCACATATGCGCCACAAATGCTAACACCATTGTGAATTTAGTAGCCTCACATTTCTTTGGGCTTTTTCAGCCAAATTTCGATGAAACTTGAAGCAAATCAATTTCAGAAATGTTATTCATCCATCTAAGTTTCCAAAGAAATTCCAAATCAGGGTCGGACAATTTTTGAATCGCCACAATACACCTTTCTAGATAATCCCCTATCTCTACAGCATTAGCGCAGTCAGCTGTTGGAACCGTGACGTCACACTTAACAGCCCTATAGTGCTACACGCTACGCACAGCCCGGGCGGGTGACGTCACGGTGTCGTCACTCGCGTCCGGGGCATGCGCAATGCGCATGGGGGCCCGCTCGGGCTCGGCTCTGGAGGCGCCGGCGGCAGGCGGCTCAGAGAGATCTGCACGGCCGATGGGAGGGGTTCCGAGATGTGCACGGCCGATGGGAGGGCTCGAAGACCACTGCTCTGATGCTTTAGTCATTAGTCAACTACACTGCGAACGATTTATCGGGTTTATCCGAGTCCCGACGCAAGGGAAGTTGCGGCGAAAGAGCCTGAGGTTGTTGCGTCATGCAGCATTATGGTAATCGAAATGTACTCTGCTCGTGCGGTGCGAGTTGGAGTGTTGGCTCGGTGGTAGGGCGAGCTGTGCACGGCTGGTGGCAGGTTTTGAGGACCAACATTCCACCACGGCTCAAGTAAGCGTATCCGTCGTGAATGATTTACGCACCAGATGTTTGACAAAGCAAATGACCTCAAACAAGTGACACCGAATAGCGAGATGCTACGTTATTGCAACGTAGGTGAACGAGATGCACTCGCATCAATTACGAGTTTGACGGCAGCTGTAGCTGATCCGTTTATACCAAGGCTATAGAACGTTTATGCATAGTGTTCGGCGGTGTCCCTGGGTTTAGGTAAGTTGAGGTAGAAGAACAGCAAATTTCCAGCCAGTTTCTAAACTCTTCTCGGGTTTTGACGTTACATCTCAAAGCCAAATCTTTGCAGTTCACGTGGATGTTCAAAATGCCTGAAGATTCTTTTTTTTCCGAAAAAAAACATCCTTTTCCATCGAACACCACAGGTGCAGAAACAACACTACCCACAAATCCAACACGAATTCAGAATTACAGTCTAACAGGTCTAACACCATCACGGTCAAATTCAACACCCAGCGCACCGACTCGCTCTATCGTCTGGAGGAAGATAGGCCCCTCTTGCACGGAGACACAAGTCAAAATCGTTTTCAAGTGATTCTAAATGGTCCGCACTCCGCACTCCGCAGACCATCAATATCGAATATGAATCTCAATCTAAATACGTTACCAAGATAATAGACATATTCGTCCAAGGAGACTGCGAATTCGGGATGAGTCTCCGTGCAAGAGGGGCCTATCTTTATACAGACGATGGATTGAGTCAGCGCACCCAACAAACGCCAGCAATTGCCCCCTTTAATTCGCCCCTTAGGTCCGCGCTTGGATAACTAACAAGGTAATTATCCATGGTCCGCGTGTGGTTCATGCATAGACTCGTATATTGTCCTCGTAAGTTTCCTTAACCTGTATCTGGACTAGCGAATAGACCCCACCTCGTCTAACTATTGCTTGGCTGATAGATGTGACGTCACATAACCCGCACGCCAATGAGCGTGGCGTCAGGCTATGACGTCATCTCCCGCGACAACCAGCCACTCAGCGCTGGAGGTGCGTAGCGTGTAGCATTATTGGGAATTTGCGGCCCGGCCGGCCTCCAGCCGACTGCCCCTGCAGCCCAGACCCTCCGCCGGCATCAACGGTCATCGGTAGGGCCGCCTGGGGAGATGCCGAGGTGTGGGAAGCGGTGGACCGTGGTGCATAGGAGAGAATGTCGCCAGGTCTAGTGGCAGCGGCGAGAAAAGGCGGCAGATCTAGTTACAAAAATGGGAGAAAGTCGGCAGGTCTGGTAACGGCGATGAGAAAAAAAAACACGTAAGATCTTGTGAAAAGACAATGTGACAGGAAGTCGACAGATCAGCACAGGGCATTAGTAGGAAATAGACGCCGGATTTCATAACATTTTCGTAGGCGCTTGATATGCTGGTCATGCTAAACTAATATCGCCAGATACGTTGATGGTAACAAGATAACTCACTGATGCGTGGTAGCAGTGAGTAGTGACACCGTAAATGCGCCAAGTATGAAGCCAGTACGCATTCTATCATAACTATAAAAAAACCTGCCGATTTGCGGCATGCCGCATTTAACGGCCTGTGTGAACGTTTTTGGGACTGCTAGTTTGGTGATATTTAAAAAAAAAAATCGTCAAAATTATCTGCTTCAGCGATGCATAGACCGGCTTCTCTTAGTTTTCATTTCACCATAATTTCACTCTGTGATTTCTGTAATTGTCCGTTATGCCAAAAGTGCTCAGTAACCAAACAGGACTTATGGCAATCGAAGTGATTCATTGAATCAGAATGTCGGTGAAACCGTCAAGTGTTGCTGTCGTTTTAAGTGTGGTGTGTGAAACATATTCTGCCATTGTTCCAAAGTACCCTGCCTTGCAGTGCCGAGCACTTATAGCCGAGCGTTGGTCTTGCGCCGTTGCGGAGAGTGATGACGTGCTTTCTGTCTTCTGTTAGTGCCGAACTTCTACTGGGGAAAGGCTTCGCCGTCGCCTTCCCGCACTGCTATGTATTGTGGTGCAGCTGTGGTGTGATGATGTCACATATGACGTCAGTGCAGTGTGGCGTCATACAAATCCTGGTGTAGAATTCAGAGAAATGGCTGGCCAGAGGAGTTTGTCTTCCATGATATATTTTGCATCCCTATATTTTATCGCTCTGGCAACATCGCATGGTTTTATCATACCTACCTGCTTTGAATCATCTCATCCGTCCTATCTGATCCTATTTTATACCTACTCGTTAGGCGGCACGGGCGGACATCGATAGCAGCGCCTCTATCGGTCACTAGGGAAAGCTGGGCTGTAGGCGACGAAATACCGGCTGAGTTGTCACACATTGAATAGGTTTATAGACATCCGTCTTGTGAAAAAGTTGAACTTTTGCCTTCAATATTTCTACAGGCAATTTTAGAAGTGTCTTCACATAGATTACAACACCGTTTAGATTATTGTATTCACTTCAAGCCTTCCCTATCGTTCTTGATGATGCGGGAACTATTTCTAATTAGTATTTCTAGCTTAATAAAAGAACATATTGTGCAAACGATGAAAAAAGCATAGATGGAAGATTTTAAATGCAATTTTCTCTAGCAATTAATGGTAAATTCTCTACAGATCAAGGAAAAGATGCATGCTAACTGATAATTTAAAGTTCTTGGGGCCAGTTGTTTTCTTCTTTTCTTACGTCGCCCCAATGGCCGCGAATACACTTGTGATAACGCCTATCGTCCATCCATGTTCCAAGTAGGTCTGTGCGCCTAGGCTGTGCCTTTTGTATCGCCACCCCCGCCTTTGGACCAATTTAGTATTCCGCTTGGTAATTTCATCTGTTTTATTTACCCTTTCCATGCCGAATCAGCTTTTAAAAAAATCAGCTTAGTGTTCTCGGAAGCTCCCATTTTCGTCATCATTTAGTGTTCCTCATTATCTTAAATATACGTGTAGATATTTTGCGGTATCAGGATTTCAGAGTTTGCATCTTTTGTAGCGTATCGATGGTTTAAATTGTTTTGTTTTTAGCTTTTCGCTCGCACATAGAATGCCATACTATGGTAGCCATATTTTATGATACCAAAGTAACCCAGAGAAGACTTTATGCCGTGCTTGTGACCTGGGTCAGAATTCAGAAGGTGATGTACGGCTCCATTTTCTAGAAGTGGTATCAATCATAGCGTAAGTTCAGTGTGTTGGGTTATGCACAGGGGCAGCTACCGGTCATTGATGACGTCATAAATCTGTGACGTCACTGGCTGGGTTGTCTGTTCGAGTGTTAATCTTTCTGATCGAGGCTGTTCTTCTTTCTGCTAGTAGTGGTGAAACCAGATTTGTTTCGTGATATGAAGTCGGCTTTCTGCTGATGAGACTGACACCCGATATCGCGTTAATTACTGTATTCGGGGAGCCACACACGGGAAGTTTACACCTATGTCGAACGGCAAAGAACGGATCACATGTTCAGCCAAGCATGTCTTTTACTATCCTATCTGTGTGTTCAGCGAGCTTCTCTTGTGCCAGGAGAGTGTAACATTTAACGACCATGTCGGTACTGTGAAATGTGGCGCGTGTGGTCCATCTAGGGTCCAGCTGCACCCAGCGACGCACCCCCCACTGGGTGCAGTGCTGGGTGCCCCACTGGGTGCAGAGAGTACGGTGGTTAGGGGCCGGTCCCGCGGCAATCGCCACTGCTGTGATAAGGGCTCTGTGGTTCTTGGTTATAAATACATAGCTGCGTTTGTTTGATGTGGGTGTGTATTAGTGAAGGCTCTTCTGCTTAGATTTGGCCTTTTCCATTTCCATATTCCATGTCGTTTTGAGGTCCTGAAAAGTTGGTCAAAAGAACAGCACGTCGTCAGTGCCTCAAATTATCAATCATGCAAATATGTTCATTTGTTCGATCCAATGTGGTGCAAATAATGAATAGCGACCGTAACAGCTGTCAGATATACCAAATTATCTGAGCCCGCTGTGCTATGTCGGCACCAGTTATGCATTTTATGTGATCGCCAAAGTATTCCTCAATACTCAGGAACGTTGCCGTACTGTTCATTTAGCTGATAGATCGTATGTCTTATCTAAGCTCCTTTCAGCTATCCGGGCTCTTCCTCGCACATCAATGCTTCCATTCCACAAGACCTTCAATCCGCCGGCCAGATGTCGCTGAAAGCTGTGAGATATGCAGGTAGAGGTCAGGACAATCGAGGCCACGCTGCCGCCTGTGAGTACTTTGCACTTCTACTTGCCATCTATCGCTGTGGTATATTTACTGAGTCCACTGTTCCAAGTCCCAGCAGGCTCGGCCCGGCCGGCGTCGTCCGCCCAGCCCCGTCCCAGTCCAGCTCGGCGGTGGTGGTAGCACGGAGCCCACAGCGCACAAATCATGGCGGTGAGTAGAAACTCGGAGAGTTTGGGAACTGTGGAGGGTGAGAGGAGGTGTGGGGGTGGGGGTTGGTAACGTGTGTGTAAAAGAGAGAGGAGGGAGCGCAGCTGCAGAGCTGTGAGAGTCGCCAGGTATGCCTGAGGCCGGATCCGGGAGGGGCGGGGAGCGAGGATGGCAAGGTGCGATGCAAACCGTGTATCCGAGGGGTTATTAACCCTGGTGGCTCGAGAAGCCGTGAGCTGTGAGGGCTGGCTGTTGCTCTATTTCTTCGAAACTTGAAGTGACACCGGCCAGGCACGAAGCTGTGAATTCGGGACAGGCAGCGAGCCACGCTCTCAGACTGCGAATTGGGTTCAAAAGCTCGCTTTCTACTGCTTTGATTAGCTTTTCCAGAGCTATCGCCGGAAGCCGGTTTGGGGTGTGAATATTGGTCCGAACAATTTCGAGCGTCGTTCTTCCGCAAGCCACGCTGGCACCCTGTCATGATGCCACGTTGGCGTGCTTCATGTATTATGCACCACTTCATCGATTTGATAATCCAGACTCGTCTCAGCCCGTTCACCGCCGCGACGAATCATCCTGTCGCCCTGTGGCGATTGTCCTGTCCTGTCTCCTACCCTGTCATTGGATTGTGACCCCCCTCCCCTCCCCTCCCCTCCCCTTCCCTCCATCAGTCTGGAATGTCGCCCTGCAGACTGCAGCGGTTTTTGCTGGGAGGGCTGGGAGAGAGCGGGAGGGGTACCACAGATATCGCTGCTCGGTCCAGCCCTTCCGGTCTGGGTTCCAGCTCCGGGCGTAGTACGCGCCTAGTTGCTAGAGTTTACGGTGGCTCCGCCTGCTCCACTCATTCCAATAATGGTGGTGACTGGTGAACCCCTACCAATAATAATGTCCAATGTCCACGTGTTCTTGGCAGCTCCGTTTGTGGGACTCATATCATTGTCTCGCTATCCGAGCTTTCGTTCGTATTTCGCTCAACATGGCCTAAATCGCGCGTTCTGTGGCATCACGAATTAGCATCAGCATGGGACTACTAACCGATCGCGTGATACCAGTGGACCTGATGTCTAGTAACAGATTCCGTGACCGCGCTCACGGACGGCCTATGGCTGACGTCCACGGACTCCGTGACTGGAATCACGATCAGCCAAAACAGGCGACCGGACGTGGTGGCTACACCGTCGCCGCCGCCGCTGCTACCGCTGTCGTTTTTACGTGGGCGGTTGGCTCACCCAGACCCCCGCGCCGGTGGGGAGGGTTGTGTCGATGAGGGTGGGAGGGGTGTACTGTCGGCTGGGGGAGGAGAGGGGCTGTGTCATCAACCATGGCGCTGGGTTGTGGCAGGTGCCAGATAGTGGCGTGTTGAATCTGTGCCGAGTTATCGTGCTTATTGCCGGGGAGGCGTGACGCGGCTAGGGTAATAAGCGATTTGTGGTGTTGGTCCGCAAATCTGCGTTTTGCAGCCGCATGATAATCAGTCGGAAGCTAGATCGTCTTCCGTTGTAAGGCATAACAATCAACACATTGTTATCATCTGAGGATATGCGGGAAGTATCCGAGGTTTTTATTTTGCAGACATCCGTCCGTTTCTAATGCTGTTTCCAGCCCAGCAACACCTCGCTCTATGATGGCGTCGTCTATAGAAACCGGTTACACCCGGTAGCTCCATACCCGTTTCGTATCGTCACCGTATCAGGCTCTTTGGAGCGCGCTGTGTGGACGATACCGTCAATCCAACAACCCGACTCTGTGTGGTAAAAACCTGCAGGATTCAGGCTTGGTATGGGTCATAAATTATGCTCAGTGGTATCCGGTGGTGTACCATTTTAATGGGTTGTGGCAGTGCTGCTCGCTGCAATTTATGTAATTACTTGCGTAGTATTCGAGTTATCGGATAGTTTATGTCCTAAGTTATGTTTGTCGCTTGTTTACAGATCAATTTTCCCGAAGCATCTCCGTTCATGCCCTGACTGTTTAATTCACTTCCTGCTTGATCGCACGCTAGCTATTTCTATTACCTACCTACCTTCGTATCACTGAATGGCTCAACCCCCCCCCCCCCTTCCGAATTGAGCCGATTCACGCGATATGCTGGTCATTTTGAGTCTCGCCCACAAACCCCCATGGCATGAATGAACCTATTCGCCTTACTAACCAGCAAGCGCGTGCGTCTTGTGACCGACCGCTCACTGGCCAGCGGTTATGTCTGTCCGTCCGCCGCCCCCGCGCAGACTCTAGTGCGCCGCCGCCGCCGCCGCCCCCGCCCCCGCCCACGTCAGATTCCGTGGGCCGCCCATGGGGAAGCGAAGGTCGGTGACCTCGTCACCTGAACTTAGACCGGGTCCGTACAGTCGGTCTTAAAAGTACCGTGCAAAGTGACGGTGGATCCATCAAGCTTGACCGAGGAAAGGCCTGCTATAACTTGAGTCACTGAACCAATTGACCAGGGGAACGGACGAGGATGTCAATTGCTTCGGTGACTCAAATCATATAGCAGGCCTTTCCTCCTTCAGGCTTGAGGAATCCACCGTTACTTTGCGCGGTACTTTTAAGACAGACTGTACATTGTGGGAGGGGGTGTAAGGGAAAGGAGAAATAGAGGGAAGAGACCCAGGGAAGGAAACAGAGGGACAGACAGCTAGACAGACGGATAGACAGACGAGCAGACGTATAGGGAGCGAGGAATGATGCGCCGACATCAAATTTATTTCGACATCCTGCATAGGAGTTGGGCCTTGGAAGTGTTTTGCCACTCGCTGATCGCAGCAGGCAGAGCGGGAAGGGAAGAGTGCGGAGGCGGCAGCCGTACGGCGGGCCATGAGGTCACACAACAGCTGCGGTGACGTCACCGAGTGCCAGATTGATGACGTCAGCCCACGAACCGGATTTTACCGGTTCGCGGAATGAAATGGGATTGGAGGGGATATCTGAACTGAAGAGTGGTTAGTAGGTAACATGATTGTCAAGCATGATTACTTTCTGCCATTTCTTGCAAGTCCACTTTGAATTGTGGCGCTGCCGTTGAGAGAGATACAGCCGCTGCATTGTTTATAAGACTGAAAACGACGTCGAATGTATCGTGACACCGCCTTAGACAATCGGGCACCGACTGCCAATGCCAAAAACCTGTCCCAGTGGCGTTCCCACACGTGTTCAGTCGCCATAATCGTACTTCCAGTTGCCGATTCACCACAACCAGTCACCGGCCTGTGGCGTGGCGAGGTTCGACTCAAGGCCCGCTCTCTCGCCGCGGACAACACGTTCCATGTGTCCGACCTTCACCTTGGCACCTCTCCCAACTCTCCCGACTCTCCCAGCGGGCCTCTCTGGGACTCTACCGTCGCCGGCCCCTGGCGCTAACAGGCCACAGCAGCTAACAGGCTACATCAGCTAACAGGCCACAGCAGCTAGCAGGCTACACAGCAGCTAGCAGGCTACACAGCTAACAGGCCACAGCAGCTAACAGGCTACAGCAGCTAACAGGCTACACAGCTAACAGGCCACAGCAGCTAACAGGCTACAGCAGCTAACAGGCCACAGCAGCTAACAGGCTACACAGCAGCTAACAGGCCACAGCAGCTAACAGGCTACACAGCAGCTAACAGGCTACACAGCAGCTAACAGGCTACACAGCTAACAGGCCACAGCAGCTAACAGGCTACAGCAGCTAACAGGCTACACAGCTAACAGGCTACAGCAGCTAACAGGCCACAGCAGCTAACAGGCTACACAGCAGCTAACAGGCTACACAGCTAACAGGCCACAGCAGATAACAGGCTACAGCAGCTAACAGGCTACAGTGGCTAACAGGCTACAGCAGCTAACAGGCTACAGCAGCTAACAGGCTACAGTGGCTGAACTGTTCACGGGCTGTGGTCTCTGCTGGGAGGGAGGACGGAGGGACGGACTGGTGGGTGGATGAATGAAGTGAATGAGGGGAGAGAGAGAGAGAGAGAGAGAGAGAGAGAGAGAGAGAGAGAGAGAGAGAGAGAGAGAGAGAGAGAGAGAGAGAAAGAGAAAGAGAAAGAGAGAGAGAGAGAGAGAGAGAGAGAGAGAGAGAGAGAGAGAGAGAGAGAGAGAGAGAGAGAGAGAGAGAGAGAGAGAGAGAGAGAGAGAGAGAGAGAGAGCTCAAAACCGAGGGGGAGATTCAAAACTAACGGCCATCTGAGTGAGATTGACGCTGAAAACCCTACCCCACCTCACGATCATCTCGAGAGCGATGTCCCTCACAAATCCAAAGAAAAACGGGGACATCCGAGCCAATTTTCACCGTCATGTGAATGTTGTTTCCGTGTGCTTCGTCAGACAGCTTTTTGCTGAGCTCCTTGGTCGGCAGGCTCACTTAGATTGACAGTGATTGGTTGATGGCCACAGGCGGTTGTCTGGATGGACGCCGCACTGCGACAATGTTGACTATTGGTCAGGCCAAAAATATCAGTCAAACAGGAGTCTAGAAAATTATACCGGCACTTAAATTCCTAACCTCGCCGTCCAACTACAGCTAGATTTCGGAACGCATGGGACGAGATGGCGTGGGACCGGAGGGCTGATTTCGTGTGCGTCCCCGCCCCTGCCCATTGAACCCACGCACGTTCCGGCCACTCCAGCCCGACCTCAGTCTTCCATGCGAGGTCATCTTTTATACCACGCCCACTCTGACCATATGAGTCGAGTTGAGTCAGGCGAGGGTGGGATGCGAACAATAGTCCGTCTGACTAGAATCTAACAGTGAATGAGTCAACGGAGACTCAGATCGTGCCTGTGACTCTGGCTGAGTCCGACTGAGAGTCAAGGAGTCGAGTTGTGAGTCACTGAGCCATGCGTTGTGAGTCACAGCCATGCGTTGTGAGTCGAGCGCTGCCATGGCTCGTGTCGGCACCGGTTGCTTGTTTCTCTATCTCTGTTTATAAACATGATCCCTCTAACATCATCCACCGACCGCGGCGGCGTCTCAACCCAGCAGCATTGGAGCTGTTCCGCTACACGGTAAAGGCACTGATCGTTCGGCCGTTTTTTTCAGAACACTGCCAACCGTTTATCTGCTATCCCATTCTCGCCATGCTAGGGCATGTGAGTGGCGATGTGGCAAGCCGCAGATGTTATCGTTTCAAGCCTGAGAATCATAAATGTCTCTGTTGCTGCCGCGCTCGAATCCCGATAGAATGGGTACTTTCTTCTCTGTAGGAGGTGGACGGCAAGTTAAGTTTTCGATCAGTTTAGCTGTGAAATATTCTAGCAAAGCTGTGGACAAGCTCAGCTGGGCTGTAGGAGGCTACCTGAGGGACAGATAGGGAGGTTGTCAAGTCCTTGGTGGCCCATCGCCAGACTCAGCTACGCTAGACTTCACCGTCAGTTGTGATGCCATGCGTCGCCTTCCCTTGAAGTCTGGTTTCTGAAAGTTGGCACCCGCCCAGAGCCATGAGTGGGCGCGGGCGGTCCTGGGACGGGCAGACACGGCCAGTCAACGCCTGGGGGCCTGGTGGTAGTGATGCCGTCGTGCATGACGTCATCAAAGCTGGGTCCGCTGCAATGCTGTGTTGTGGTACTCCGTTGTACCTTCCTTTTGCTTCGTTTGTTGTGTGCATGCTTGGTAAAAATTAAGTCATTCGCGTCAGCAACACAGCTCGCTAAACGGCAGAAACTCGACTCACAGTTGATGACAGCTGATATGACAAGCAGTCAGTCTGTAACCATGTGTTCTGTCCTGTCAGTATACCTCCAGGACTGACCCGTGTGTTATTTGTTTCAGTACTCACCGACCGTCGTTCCGTATGAGGACTTCAACGCCGAGGAAGACGCCCACGCCCTCAAGTAAGTCCCCTCACCCCCATCCCATGCTCACCTAAAGTTGCTTTATTCCTAGTTACAGAACAGAACGGTTAATAACGTTTTTGTAAAAGCAAATGTCCATTGCCTTTCCTTTCTGCTTCTCATCACCCTCTCTCTCTCTCTCTCTCTCTCTCTCTCTCTCTCTCTCTCTCTCTCTCTCTCTCTCTCTCTCTCTCTCTCTCTCTCTCTCTCTCTCTCTCTCTCTCGCTCTCTCTCGCTCTCTCCTCTCTTCTCTTCTCTCTCCTCTCCTCTCCTCTCCTCTCCTCTCCTCTCCTCTCCTCTCTCTCTCTCTCTCTCTCTCTCTCTCTCTCTCTCCCTCTCTCTCATTTTCTCGTTTTCTCATCATCTTCTCTCATTTTCAGCGTTTTACCACATGCCGAGATATCCCTTTAACATTAGCACGTGCATTTGGGAAATGGCTTCGGCCCGCCTCGGCTAATGTTGAAGGTATTTGGGAAACGATTCGGCCCTAGGGCTTTTTGATTTTCCCAGACAAAGTTTTACTGAATATTCCGAGCGGAAGAACCAATTTCAAAGAAGATATTTACGGATTGTGTGTTCACTAACAGCAACAGCAAAAGTAAGTGACTGCGTGTTTACATACTTTTGCTGTCAACGTAATTCAACTAAATCGTTCCAATGCCAATGTATTTATTGCTGCAGAACATGGTCGGAATAATCATTATTTCTACATAATGCACGCAAAAAACGAACAATTTAAATGCGTGAAGCATCTTAACGTGCCACAATGAAACATTTGATATTGTTCCAGCTGGGATCCAAGACGCGTTTGATTCAGCGTTACACCCAATTTTTAGTTTTCCTCACGGTTTCCTCACTCCTGCTGGACTCCATATCTTTATTCTAACTTCTGGCGTTTCACCATCTTCATCCTCAGCTTTTTCAAACCCTAAATAAGGGGGAAGTAGGAATTTCATCTTTCATACTCAACGCAGCCTAATAATGAAAAACACAAACAAATAATCACGGTGACTATAAATATGAACATAGCATTAATATAATATTAACATAATATTAAGATTAAAGTCTAAAATATCAAATGAATATGATATTAACTGTTGCGCCGGTACGGCATGTGGTAAATCTCTTCCCAACCTTGGGCTGTGAAAATGCAGTTTTATTCACCTCGGTTTTTGGCTACGGACCTCGTGCCTACCGGCACTCGGTCCTCCGCACAAAAACCTCGGTGAATAAAACGCATTTTCCCAGCCCCGGTTGGGAATATATAATCTTATACCTATTCTCCCTTGGCATGTAACATCGATAAAGTAAGCAACTGTGGTGCAACCAAGTGTTAGCCGCATAACACTTGTGGCGGCGTGGCTCGAACATCCGCACTGACTCATCAATGCTCCTTGACGAGATGGACTCGATTCAGCAGTGAGTCATCATTGTCACATGTTTGCTATTTGACTCATCTCGTGCAGAAGTTGGTGGTGCGAAACCAGCGGCTGCTCTCAGACTTAGGTGCTCCTTACAATGTTCTTTTCACATGTCCATGCATTCTCTGTAATGGCTTGAAATTCGTGTCCGGTTGACCGTTTCCCTGACCCGTGACACCTGACTCATGGGACCCCTGTCCTGGGTTGCAGTTTTCCGTTCCCTAACCCCTGTTCGGACGCTCTAGTTTCTCCTACGGCCGCTATAAAGGATATGACCCTGACCTCTGACCCTGCTGCAGCCCCATCTCTTGACCTCTGACCCCCTGACTTTTCCCCTGCAGGGCGGCGATGAAGGGCATGGGCACGGAGGAGGCTCCCATTGTGGAGATTCTGACCCGTCGTACCTACCAGCAGCGGGAGGAGATCGCACAGACATACAAACGCGAGTTCGGGCGGGTGAGTGTGTGCCAGAGTGGTATCCGGGTAGAAGTTTAGAGAGGCATGTCAGAGAACTTAAGGGTGACTGTTTTAATGTGGCTGGGTAGTCCAAACACTAACAGCTTTCGTACAGAAAGCAAACAAGCTGTTTAACGTAGTGGAAATTTGTCGGTGCTGGTTTGGTCGTATGGCGTTTCTATGACGCTCTAAGGTGCTAGCGTGTAACGAACATTGAACACTTTACGCCGTTGTGATGCCAATTGCACAAAAAGAAAATGTTGCTGATTTACTATAGCTACGTTTGCTGTCACTCAGAACGTTTTACGAGAAAACAGCTGTGACACAGCACTGGTACTATCAACATACAATACGACCCGTCTGTCGTCGTCTTTGACATCACGTCTGACCCCCTCCCCCCCCCCCCCGTCAGGACCTGGGCGAGGATCTTGCCAGCGAGCTGGGCGGAGAGCTGGAGGACCTGATGTGCGGCCTCACTCACTCCTACTTCGAGTACCTCGCGCTGGAACTCAGCAAGGCCATGAAGGGCATGGGAACCAAGGAGAAGATCATTAACGAGATCATCCTGTCGCGTAACAACTCTGAGCTGCAGCTGCTGAAAGAGACGTACGCCAATAGTGAGTGTCAACGAGCAGAAATGGGCTGTGGAATTGACGTGCGAAATTAAACCCAAAGCCACGTCGTAAGTGTCCGGCTAGAATTTGAAAAGTTTCCCTTTTTTGATTGTGTATGTGTTTAGGGGGAAATGAGAAACTTACGCTTCTTGTAAATTTATATGGTAGTCTGCGTATTTAATATTTATCCGCGACGATCTGCGTATTTAATATTTATCCTAAGCAAGGCCGTATAAAGATCAGTGTCAAAAAAAAAAAAGATTGTAGCATTGTTGCTTTCAAAGTGAAAAGAACGATGAGTGGATAGGTACTGGCCTTACGTTGCCTTGGAGGTTACAGTACAATCTGGTTTTGACCATCTAGCCAGTAATATTGCCCTCTCGTATCTATCAGACGTTTTTCAGGTTGTTGCCTTAGCATCTCTTTTTAAACCAGTCGCCCCCCCCCCTTCCCCTGTGTAGTGTATCGAGTACCTAGTGCATCGGGTGTCCGAGGCTCGGCATCGGGCCCCCGGTAATACGAGTGTGAGGCGGCCGCACCCTGCTCGGCTCCAGTCAGAGCCAGCAGTCGAGAGGCTCCGCCCGGCCGCACAGCACGGCAGTGCCTTAGTGTTTTGCACCGCGAGTTTGTGAGAATACATCGGAATCCGGAGACGGCGGTGGACACTACATCTGGCGACGAGGACGAGATCCTGAATACTACCGACGATGAACGTCGAGGGGGTGTCGCCGCCAACTCCGTTCCTGGCGAGACCAGGAAAACCAGCACTGCCCTGGAGTGACTGGATTTTCAGTTTCCACAACTACCTGACTGCCCTGGGAGGTGAGGCCTACAGCACGGAGAGGAAGACGGCTCTCCTTCTGCACTGTGTCGGCGCCGAGGCGCAACGGGTGTACCGTACCCTACCGGTCCAGCCGAGGAGAGAAGACGAAGACGAGTTCCATGCGGCTGAGCGGCAGCTCGCCGAGTTTTATGAACCTCAGGTCAACGTGATCGCGGAGCGGTTCTTCTTCCGGCAGCGACGGCAAGAGTCGCACGAGCCGACGGCCGACTACGTGGCGGCGCTGCGCCGCCTGGCAGTAAACTGCTCGTTTGGACAAATGACAGACGCAATGATACGTGACCAAGTCGTGGAAGCAACAGTGCATCCGATTCTCCGCGAGCGTTTTCTGCAGGATAAGGGCCTGACCCTGGACCGCGTTCTGGAGATCGCCGAGGCATTCGAGCGATCCCGACGCGAGGCGACCGCCATGGCCGGGCCGGCGCGGCCCGCCGCCGACGGAGCGCGGTCACTGCATCAGATATCTGACGCTCGTCAGCGCCGCGGGCGCCGGCCCTGGCGACCCGCCCGGCGGCAAGACGACCGCCGCCCCGCCCCTGCCCAGTTGCAAGCCGACCGTCGCCCCGGACCTGCCCAGCTGCAACCGGACACGTGCCCCAGCTGCGGTCGGCGCCAGCACAATGAGCGCGGTCGGTGTCCCGCTACCGGGGCCAGGTGCAGGCAGTGTGGGCGGACGGGTCACTTTGCCGTGGTCTGCTGGTCTGGTGAACGGAACGACGACAGAAGGTGTCACGAGCTGACTGTTCTCTGCTGCGCCGTACCAAATACTGATAAGATGATGTGCGAAGTACAGATGGAGGTACCAGGTATCACGCAGACCGTGAATCTGCAAGTTGACACGGGTGCCACGGTGTCCGCTTTAGGACTCGGCATCGCCAGACGTCTCTTCAAAGGCAGTCATCTCAATAGAACGTCTGCTCGTCTGTTCGGTTTTGGTCGACACCAGCTTCAAGTGCTTGGCACGCTGCCAGCGCTGGTGACCTACCGTGGACGGCGAGCCAACACAGAGTTCTTCATCATAGATTCCGACGGTGAAGAAGCCGTCATGGGACTGGACCTGCTGAAGCAGTTGGACGTAAACCTGCACCCCGCGAGTGGGGCAATCGATCCGCTGGCGGTCACTGGGAGCGCAGAAGTCCCGGAACCGCCACCGTCTCAGCCCGACCCTGGCGAGATATGCTCACTGACAATGGTCCGTGGCCACCCCGAAGAAGCGGACCTGCATGAAGACAGCTCCGCTGAAGAAGAGGTGATCGCTCTTCTGACAGATGAAGAGAGCGTGCTGACCGAGCAAGACGTCCGCACCGCGTCAGCTGCTGATCCTGAGCTGCAGCAGCTGCGTCATCAGATCAAGCGCGGCTGGCCGAGCAGCGCCAAGGCCTGCCCGGTTGAAGTCCAGCCGTACTTCAAGATGAGACACGAGTTGTGGGTGCGCAACGACGACGTCATCCTGAGAGGAGCCCAACAAGTTGTTGTGCCCGTTCAGCTCCGCCGCAGATACCTGGAGCTGGCGCACAGCGCGCACGACGGAATCGTCCGCATGAAACAGGCGCTGCGGAATCTGGCGTGGTGGCCCGGCATCAACCGTGAGGTGGAGGAGCTGTGCCGAAGTTGCGAGCGCTGCCAGCACAGCGACGCAGTCCTCTCCCAGCGCGCACGCCCTGCGCCCATGCAGCCAGTCGACCTGCCGGACCGCGCCTGGTCGAAACTGGGAATGGATATCGTTGGTCCAATCAACGGAGCACCAGCGACTGCCCGTTACGCCATCACTCTGATTGACTACAGAAGCAAATGGGCGGAAGTCTGCCTGACGTCATCGACTGAGACTGAAGACGTCATCAAGTTCTTGTCAACTGTGTGGGCCAAAGAGGGCTATCCCGACGAGATCGTGACGGACAATGGGCCCCAGTTCACGAGCAGGGAGTTCACTGCGTATCTGGCCGCCCGAGGGGTGAAGCACACCAAATCGTCCGTCTACTGGCCTAGAGGCAACTCCGCCGTAGAGCGCTTCAACAAAACGTTCAAGTCGTGGATCACAGACTGTCCACCAGCAGCGTTTATTGACGAGGTACGCAAGAGCCTGGCGGTGTATCGAGCCACCCCACACACGACAACTGGGAAGTCACCGTCAGAGCTCCTGCATGGACGACAGATGAGGCTGAACCTGCCTGTCATTCAGCCGTCAACACCAGGAGCCGACAGTGTGGCGTCTCGAGTTCGACGCCGACAGCAGTCCAACAAGAGGTCCTACGACCGCCGCCGTGGCGTGACGACGCCGCGCATCACTGAGGGCGACTACGTCTGCGTGAGACGGCAGGGACACCGCTCGAAGACGTCCTGTCGGTTCACGTCTCCGGTGCGAGTCACTGGGCGCGTCGGTCCCGCAACGTACCGTCTGGCTGACGGCCGGACCTGGAACGCCGCCCATCTGGCCCGTCTCCCATACGCGCCGGCGTCTCCCTCAGCATCTCCCCCCGCTGGGCCCGGCGAGACCACGTCGACCGCCACGACTTCCGAGGCCGACGCCGCTGGCCCGCTGACCTCGCTCGCCGCTGCTTCTCGCCCGTCGACCGAGACAGCTTGCGAGCCGTCGCCGGACGCCGCCGATGTGAGCGTGCAGCGTCCCAGGCGAAGCGACCGTGTCTGTAGACGACCGGACTACTACGTGTCGCAGTGATGCTGTTCCTTTTTTTTGCGAGAGGGGGGAATGTGTAGTGTATCGAGTACCTAGTGCATCGGGTGTCCGAGGCTCGGCATCGGGCCCCCGGTAATACGAGTGTGAGGCGGCCGCACCCTGCTCGGCTCCAGTCAGAGCCAGCAGTCGAGAGGCTCCGCCCGGCCGCACAGCACGGCAGTGCCTTAGTGTTTTGCACCGCGAGTTTGTGAGAATACATCGGAATCCGGAGACGGCGGTGGACACTACACCCTGCCCCTTTTAGCGTGTCACATCCAGCCCTAAGTGGCCCCCACCACTCACCCCCTGCCCTCGCCCTAAGTGGCCTCTAACAGGGTGTCTCCTATACATCTGACACTTTTTTATCCGCCATAACTTTTGAGACCTTCGACAAATGGTCAAGTGCAAGACACCATAATGTAGCAAAAATTGTTTTATTTTAGGTGAGACGTGTCACGATCCACGCGGACATTGTTTGCTCATGCAGAGCACGTGCTCAAAGTGCTCCCCGTTTTGTACGAGGCACAGCTCCACTCTTTTTAAAACAGACCTCGATGGCTTTTCCGTATGTCTCCTCGCTGATCTCGTGAACAGCCCTGATGATAGCCAGCCGTACCATGGAGATTTTCAACCATTCCTTCATTCCTAAAATCCTAAACTGGACATACACCATTCACCCCTGCCCCTTTCAGCGTGTCACAGCTCGCTCTAAGTGACCTCCACCACTCACCCCCTGCCCCTTTCAGCGTGTCACAGCTCGCTGGAGGAGGATATCCGTGGTGAGTCGGACGGTGACCTGGAGAAACTGCTGGTCGCTCTGCTCAACGACAGTAGAGATGAGATTGGAGACGTCGACAACGCCAAGGCCCAGCAGCAGGCGCAGGATCTCTACAACGCCGGTAAGGGCCAATACAACTTCATGGATGGCGTGCTGGATGAGATGGGATGATATAATTTTGCATGTGATGATATTTTAACATGCATGTGAGAAGATATTTTGGGGTTCACCAGTCAAGGCATCTACATCGCTGTTTAGAGGTAGAGGTAGAGGTAGAGGCAAATTCTGCTGAAACTACGGGGAGGGGACACTATGAGTTGCGACCTTGACGTATGCATTACAAACTGCTGGTTGGTAGGCAAGGGAATGGGTATGTTGAGGGCTTAGTAGGACCTCTGCAATGACGGTAGGGGATGCTGTAATTTGCAAACTCAACCCGCTAAGGTGGAGTGGGAGAAGATAAAGGTGGTTGCAAATTCGCCTTTAAGAGTGGTGCTACTATCAGAACTCAGAGGTATTGCTGGGAGTTCAGGACTCTTCCGTAAAGAGACCTAGGTAGGTTGTTGGCGGTAGGAACTTTACAACTCCGATTAAATATATGACGAGCGTTGGGAAAATGTAGTGTGACTCTGTCGATGACTCCCTGGTTGACCCTCTCCCCCCCCCCCCCCCCCAGGCGAGAACAAGTGGGGCACCAACGAGGCCGTGTTCCGCCAGCTGTTTTCACACGAGAGCCTGCCGCAGCTGATGGCCATCGCACAGGAGTACGAGGAGATCTCCAAAAGGTCAGACGATCAGAAAGTTTCGGGAGGCAGGACAGACTAAGGGGAAGTGGTATGGTTGTGTAAGAAACAGAACAGCAGCTGGCTGAACTCTGTTAGCACAGCACAGTAGGTACGAGGAAATCTGAAAGTCACGGAATTCAAAACAGTTGCAGGGGCACTTGATAAAAGGCACATGAGTGGATTGGGGTGGCGATGCTATGCGTCATTTCATAGTCGTTTAGTAAATTACATTGGCGTGATCACCTCACGAGGTAGTCCGAAGCCGTGAAATGGAAGGCTGTTTGATTGTCGTTTCTTCCTTATCTCCTACAAAGACTGTGCTCGACCCGTCGAAGTGTTCGCGGTTAAGCTTTGTAGTGAGTTGTGGCAACGCAAAATCTTTTTAGTGACTAGCGTTTTGATGACGCCGTCATAATTCATGATTTGCTATTACTTTGTTGTGTCTCCGTAGGATCGCTAATTAATCTCATCTGGTAACCTGCCGTCCTGTCTGCCGTATTTTCCAGATCCCTGGCAGAGGCTATCGAGTCGGAAATGGGCGGCGACTTCCGCGACGCCCTCCTCATCATCCGTGAGTCTCTGATGAATACTGCCTTTGCGAGGCAGAACAGTCCCGAGATTGGTGAATGGAAGGGTAGTTATTGACTATGTCGTAGAATGACTAATGGGGGTGGGTTTAACGGTTTTTATTGCTTGTTGCGAACACAGATGGATGTGATTTGGTACGATGAGCGCGTATGCAGCTGTTGAGGTTACCGCTTCTTTTTGTGACAGTCTGCATGAATTCAAAATGATTGTTGCTTGCTTCAAAGATAATGTAGGTTTTCATAAGGTGAGACGTTTCATCAAAACAGTGGCATACAAAAACAGCTCAGCCCTCCTAGCATACAGTTTCTCTGTTACAACAGCAATGACAACAGACACCCTCCTTCCCCCTCGCCCACTGACCCCCCCCCCCCCCCCCCCTCTGCTCTTTCCAGTGGAGGTGGCCAAGGACAAGATCGGTTACTACGCCGACCTCCTGTACAACTGTATGCAGGGAGCCGGCACCGACGACAAGACACTGATCCGGCTGGTCCTCTCCCGTAGCGAGCTCGATCTGGGCGACATCAAGGAGAAGTACTTGGAAAAGTACGGAAAGACGCTGGACCATTCCATTGAGGTGAGACGTGGGGGAGGCTAGGTGGACGAGTCCATTATGGTGTGGAGGGGAGAAGGGCGTGAAAGATTGGCCAAATGAGATGACATTGGGTCTGTTCCAGTCGCACTTCCTAAACCTCTAAACCTCTCCAAGAGCAAGATAGAGGAGGTTGGAGCAGGGCCATCCGTGGCTTTGTAGGGGATAGAGCTGCCACTGGAACAGGGAAGCAATCTTGGGAGTTTAGAGGTGTTAGGAAGTATGACTGGAACAGACCCAATGGGGATTAGGAAGGATGGGCGAAGTGTGAAATGGATTTAGAGACCCCGGGAAAAGAGAATTAGTGACCTGAATGGGGAGACGCCGATAAACAGTACAATACAGCTGATGTGCGATACACGTCTAGAAATATGCAGGAAGATAGCGGTCATATATGATGAGCCGGCCCCGGGGGCCTGCGGGGGGGGGGGAGACATTGAAGCAGGAATGAGGGAACTAATCTGAAATAAAAACAAAAAGCTATGTCAAAACTATCGCTACCGTGAAGCAAAACACGCACTATTCGGCTGTAAGTAAACGCTTGTAAACGCTTTTGCGCTAACATTCTCTGTTTCTCTTTCAGAGCGAGACTTCGGGACCGTACAAGGACGCCCTTCTGCTTCTGGTCCGGGGCGGCTAGTCTCCGCCCACGACGTGACGTCACTACGGCCTGATGACGTCAGCACACGCGGCGCCGGTTCTTCGCTTCAGCCACAGCGCTGGAAGTCGGCGTTGGCTTTGGACGTCCGGGGAAGCCATCACTTTCTGGGAGGTGCTTATTCGTCATATATGAACCGTACCGATGTCATCGAGCCTATCTCGGAGGCTGTCTGTCTAGCTTGTGATGAATTATTTGTAATAAATGCTGCCGAATCTCCAACGGGAAGATGACGGTCTTATTATGAAAAAGTTCAACTGTGAACATATCTCGTGCCGGGAACTTGTGAGCTCTTGCCTTTGCAGGATTTCTTGCCGAATACACGCTGAGGCTGGATGTTCTGAGCTTCTGAAATCTGTCCTCAGAAATACCCATCCGGATGAAACCCTTGTCCACATTTTTCTGCCCGTGCGCTGAGTCCCGGTCGCCTTGCCACGCTACATGTGGACAGATTGGAAAGGAGCAGGACCATCTCGAATGAAAGTTTCAGTCTAGGTAGCCCGACCCATCGAGACTGGTTCAGCTACCGTAACACGCCAGTCAGCGGTCGAATCGGGCTTCGGAGCCCAATGTCTCAACCCTCGGTCCGCGCCTCCCAGGCCATCACACGGCTATGATATTGTCTATGATATGGACCTCCAGCCAACAAAAGAAAAAGCAAAGGCTAATGGTCACTTGTATAGCTCGTCATCTTCCATAAGAAGATTGGGATTAAACAGCTTGAGATGAGTGTCATTTTAGATTCAATTTTCAGTTCAGTCTATCTCTTGTACGGCATTGGTCAATGTGTCCATTGCTTTTGCTGCAGGCTTCCAGCCATCTTCCAACCACCTTCCAACCACAACCAGTCGTACTTGGCCCTCTGGCGGCGTACAGAAACTAATAGTTTTCTTCCTTGCCGCCAGGGCCGCTAAAGCAGGTCTTTTCAACCCAACGATTTCTATTAGCTACTTGTAAGCACGCACGACCAATAAAAAAGATGAGGGAGTTACCAAACATACTGCTGTAAGTGATTTCGACAAAATTACTAAGCTTAGGCGTCATTTGCTAAAACCAAATCTATTCCTTTTTGAATTCCTAAAGAAAGGTTTCTTTTCATGTGGAAGCAATTGTTCAAATTGTGCTACCATATGTGGCGGCAAATTCATTATAGTGCGCCATAAACGCACAATAATATCAAAATCACAAAGCATAGTAGATGAGTTGTGGATGGTAATTTTCATTTCTATGAAAACAGATTAATTAATGGCAGATGTGTATATTGATATGGCCTTGCTTGAAAATGTCACATAAGTGCCCTACTTTTTGTGTAGTCATAATTGCAGGCGTCACACTTTTTACCACCATTTCATCAACCTTTTTTTAATCAGAGTAATAGGTAGTGATGTTGATTGAACCATTGGTTTGTCTCTTAAAAGATAAAATATTGATGTTAATATGATATTTTGTGACAGACCTGGGTCCATATTTAGGCTAGATTTTGAACTAATGCTGAAAGCATGCGTCATAGTCATTTGTCAGCAGTTATGATGGGAGAACACGTGGAGCCCAGCCCTGCAGCCCTCTGACCCTAGTTGGAAGTGATATAAATTAGTCACAAAATTCACACCCAATGACTGAGTGCAGCCAACAATTGACCATTTTCCACCGCCAGGAAGGCCCGCCTCACCATCTTCCTCTGTTTTTCAGACTGCTGTCACGATGCTGGTCGACCCGACGATGAACCGGCTGGACGGCCGTCTGGCCACGTTCAAGGAGTGGCTGGTGGAGAATGAGCCGGGCTGTGTGTGCACAGCCAGGAAGGTGAGACGTGCTGGGAAATGTTAAGTGGCTTCAGCAAGGTGACTCGTAGTGTCGAAAGGGGCTAAATCAGATCATTATGTTTTGGGGAGGGTTAAAGTATGACAGTGTTTTTAAAGGGGCATTGTGAACAATTCCTGAAGTTGGGAAGTCAAATGTATAAATATTTTGCCTGCCTAGGGCTGTCAAGTTAACATTGCTTTGTGTATTATCTCTTGCTAAATTGTGTCCATAATATCTTGCTAAGATTTCAAGGGCTTTTCATTTCCCACTCATGGCTTCCATTTCCCATGCTAATTTAGTTGAGAGTTGGGACTGAAACAGATTGCACACAAGTGTGCCAATCCTGTGTAATAGGATATGGATTATGTGGTTGATTATCACTGATGTTAGTTGTCGGACTTTCGTCCCCGTCTTGAGTTGAGATGTAAGTTTCACAACGTTTCGGCCAGTTACTTCTCCGGCCGTCGTCAGGTGTTCTCTGGCCCTTAGAAGGACGTCACCTCAAGACGGGACGAAAGTCCGACAACTAACATCAGTGATACTAACACCTCGTCTCAAGCATTCAGAAGAACTATATGTGGTTGATTATATTCTGTGTAGAATCCAATGTTGATTCTTTCTAATTCTCACATCATCATTAGTTGTTTTATTTGACATCCCGCTGCAGCTCTTGGCTTCTAAATACATCCTCCATTGTGGCCGCCCTGCGTCCATTGTGGTGAAGCTGAAGTTCGTGTTTTGTCCGACAGATGGCGGAGAGCGGGTTTTTCCGCTGCGGTGGCGATGAGGAGCCCGATCTGACGCGCTGCTTCGTCTGCCATAAGGAGATGGAGGGCTGGGAGGCAGAGGATAACCCCATGTGAGTCCGCGGGGGTCGCCGGCAGGCCGACCCGCGGGGGCACAATCACCGTGATGCCAATGTGCCTCTGCACTCAAACAAACAAACAAACAAACAAACAAACACACAAATAGGTCCCAATCAATTTAAACTGGGAGAGTCGATACTGGAGATCGTAAGCTGCGTGGATGTGAATTCCAGTAAATCTGTCACTTCTCTGGACTTACCCACAGGTTCATGGGTTTCTCGGTTCCGTCGTTTCCATCATCGGGAATCGGGATAGTCGATTCGAATATTTCTCCTTCACACGTCAGCCCCCTGTTCGGGGCTGGGCGGGCAACTTTATCCCGTGCGGCAGCGGCTTCCATAAGAGCAAGCCCGTAGCCAGATGCAATGAGTGTTATGGGGCTGGATGGCCTGTCCTTTTGGACAGGCTTAGCCCCGGTGACTCACTAGGGTGCCCGCCCAGACCAATGTCTCCCCCTACTTCCTATCATCCTTCTGGCTCTGAAATGGCCTCATTACACTGAAAGAGCCTAACTTAACAAAACAACCAATACCCATAGATAAATGTAAAATGTTTAGACCAAAACCATACAACCCAATCTGTCTGTTTTGTGGATGTAACCCTTGATGACTGTAATGAGGCATCTTCGTCAGCTGGATTCTGTGACAGTGCTCAGTCTCACATATCTCCCCGTGTGTTGATCAGGGAGGCGCGCTACCACACCGCCAAGTGTCCTCTGGCCAAGCTCGGCAAGCCGGCATCGCAGCTCACTGTGGAGGACATGCTGAAATTGATCAACTTTCAACAGACGGAAAGAGTGGTAGGTGACGGGTGTGGAGACAGAGAGGGGGTCGGGAACGGAGGCAGAGAGAGTGGTAGCTGACAGGACGGGAGGCAGAGGGTGGTAGCTGACAGCTGGGAAGGGAGGCAATCGCATCGCCTCCCTGTCCTCCCCCATTGACCATGTTGCTCCCGGCTTGTCAGTTTTGATACTAACCTTTTTGTCTAGTGTTTCAGAGGCGTTTTGGGTTCCGAGACGGGAGACTGACTGAGCTCTTCGTCTCTGAGATTGGACCGTCTCTCTCCCTCTCCCTCTCCCTCTCCCTCTCCCTCTCCCTCTCCCTCTCCCTCTCCCTCTCCCTCTCCCTCTCCCTCTCTCTCTCTCTCTCTCTCTCTCTCTCTCTCTCTCTCTCTCTCTCTCTCTCTCTCTCTCTCTCTCTCTCTCTCTCACCCCACTCACTCCCTCTGTCCGTTATTCCAGAGGGCGTTGAGCTCGGATATGATCGAGGAATTTAAAACGGACGCAGCCGAAGTGCGGAAGCAGCTGGAAGCCCTCGCTAAGAAGCCGACACGCAAGAGAAGGGCTCGGTAATGAAAATGGCGACCACAGAGGAACGTGCCGACGGAGGGAGGGGGCCTAGATGACAAGTCCACTTTTGATGATGCTGTCAATACTTAATAAGCTCTAACTCGACGGCAAGAAGTGGCATGTCTTTGTCTGTGGCGTGGACCAATGGTCTCGAAGTTTGTACGATAGACAGTGTAATCATAGGTGGGATGAAAGGAAGTAGTAACGCGCCTGTCTCTTTTCACGCGTGTAGATGCTGGTGGAGGTTAGCTCAGAACAGCCATGGATGTGTTGCGCCTCGTCATAGAAATGTTTCGTCTTCCTGCTGCTGTCCATCGCCGTCATGTACATAATTGTACATTGTACAATGCTCATGTGTGTACCTACTTACATCATAGGGAGTTTCGAAGACTCTCTTCATTTGCTTGTGACTGTTTCTTATCCCGATCACTGCTACCAAGATATAAGAGAAATTATTTCACATTTCTGAATGTTTTGACGCATGTCTTCGAGTTTTGTCTGAATACAGTAGTATTTCACACGATTTCCGCATTTTGACTTACTGAAATCATGAACCCATTTATTGTGGTGCTGTTTATAAGCAGCATTAATGAGAGAAAACTAGAAGTATTCTGCTCAATGATGATACGTGGGACATGTGTTGACTGATGGTGAGACGAGAGACTCGTTTCAAAACATCTTGCTGATATTTTTTTAGGGGGGCTGGGATAGGGTGGGATTACTGATTCGCTGAATCACCTTGTCTGTATAAATAATTTGTGACTGAAACATGATTGACTGGATTGTGAGCACTGCTGGGACTTACAGTACCTACATGACATTACAGTCGGCGGTTTTCATTGCGACATTCTTTGAAAAGGGGCGTAACGCCTCCGCCTCCCCGCTACTGAGCGGACGTGACTGTTGACCCCCGTAGTCCGTGCGAACATTTGTGTATTCACGGGGTATGAGGCTGAGTCAGAGACCCCGATCGCCCCCCCCCCCCCCCCACAAAAAAGCATTGGCCGTCGACAGAAACTGGTGGGTCCTAATTGAAGCGTCATGACATCAGCCCCTCCCACGCACACACGCACAGTCATTATTGCAATATATATTTTTTTAATCCATGCCGGGCGTAATATCTCGTAACGTATCAGTCCGTTCTAAAAGAAAACTAGGGGGAAAGCAGAAAAATAAACACTAAAACTTGTTTCACGAAAACCTTGCCACAGTTCGGCTCAGTGCAAAACTGCGAGTGAAGCACTTGAAAAAGTCGCGGCCATTATTTAACCACTGTGACCTGTTTAACCGTGACTTCATTACCACTATGCTGTCCTGATTTTGATACCCGCAATCCGTACCTATGTTCCATTTGACATGTGTATGTTCCTTGACCAAATACGTCTGTCCTACAGGCTACAGGCTGCAAGTCAAATCTAAGGCCCTGACACGGGAACATGGTATGTAGGACAGCCCAGGCGATCGGTGCTATACACACACCGTGGTCGGCCGTGTCACCTGCCAAAAATCGCGTGCCGGTGTGTGCGTGCACACTTCGCGGGACGTCGGTTGGCACACGATCACTGGGGCTCAGTTAGTAGGACACATTGATACTGACGCCGGCTTTGGTGCGGCTGGTCCAGGGGGGTTCGCTCCCGTGCCTTCAGCATTACGAAAAATGGAAACAACCCGTGAGCAGCATCAGCTGCTCACGTATATGTTCAAGGAAAACAACATGTAATGGACTGCTGACGACGGCCCTCTCCACCAATCAGCGCTCGGCATCTCGAGCGCTGATTGGCTGGTAGCAAACGCGTCATATGTGGGTCTCATTTTTTTGCGATCAGTGAACGCGTTATTTAATACACAGTGGCCTATGGAGAATGGCACGCGGAACTGAAGGTCAGTGTTATATTGCTTCGTACATGCGACTGGGGGTATTTGAGTGGCATTTGACACCATTTTCGAAATCTACAGTGAATTTCTGATCGACTCATGTATATATTTTTATGAATTTGATAGTATTAGTGTTACATAGTCGATGTTTTATGTTGGTGTTGTTTCTCTCGACCTTTGTCTTGGACTTTTATCATATCTTTTCTCGAAAATGCTTGCCATAACCAAGTCTAAACTGTATCTGTATAAGAGATAATTTGTGTTGAATATGAGGAGAAAGTAGTTATGACCATTCTGCCCATCAAGCTGCAAGAAGGTGTTCTTGTAAGGTGATTGAAACTTCAGTTCGGGTTGCAGATGTGGGTTTGACATTAGCATTGTTGTTGTAACCCCACTTGCTCTAATAAAATGGAAACATGGGGTTATGTACCCACTATTGCACAGCCTGGTATCAAGCTGGTTGATATGTGGAGGATAATGAAAGCATAAAAACTTTTCTTAAGTGAATAGGAGTGCTGCGTCTTGTGACTTTGTCAAGTCATTTTAAATCAAATGATTGTGATTGTAACTTTTACTTCAATTAATTATTGTTGCTAGTTTTGACCTTTTTAATCATCAAGTTTTATGTGTACCAATTTCATATGATTGTGTAATGTCTGTGCGGCTTTGTGCAGTGTGCGTGTCTTGAAACAAACCAATTTATTTTGTACCTTTTTGTACGTCAACAAATGTATGTCAAAAGACAAAAATGTCATGTCTATTATCATTGACACTACTACAGCTAACTTTGCCTATATTCCTATCTTTCAGAGGCATTCAATTCAATCTGCTTTCCAGTGCAGTACCTAGGAGGCTGCAACTGAAACTCGCACAAAGGCAATCAAGTGTCACTTCATCAGCCTACAGTAACAGCCCATCTGTAATCAAGATATGGATGAAGTGGCATAGAAGAACAACCAATTCAAACAAGAAAAGATTGTATTTTATTTTGGACTATTTTTAAGCATAACAGAACACTACACTTGCTGCTTTTCATGTTTGCCCTGTGTGCAGTTTTGAATAATTTAACTATGAAATGCTTTTGCCCACTATTCTCTTTAGAAAGCCTTCCTTTGTAATGCATTTTGAGCTTACATGCATGATGTAGGCATATTTCCCTTGGCTTCATAAAACTACTTGCAAGCTTTTGTTATGGACATTGGTGCTAATATGATGCTTCAAATGTGTCCAGTAGTTGGTGAAGGGAGAAGAGAAGTAGGACAGCTGATAGCTATTACCAAAAATATGTGCTTGTCTGCACTTCGGGCTGTTCCATCATATGCAACCTCTTTTTACCTCATTGAGTTAAAAACACCTCATCTTTTGTTTCTTTCCTGTGTGCCCATTGTTTCCGTGGTGCTATAAATGTCAAGTTTGAAGTTGGTATCTAAGTGAGCAGAATGTGCATTATTTCAGTCCGTCTTGAATCATTCGTCTTGAATTATATCCCTAACTGACATCCTGTTATTTGTCCTGCAATGTATGTGCCTGTGTCCGCCCTTACCTCCGGCTTTAGCCTCAAACCAGCCCTGCTGAGCTCTGTCGCCGGCGCGGTGTGTCGCAACGTGCTGTTTCTCCACTTCAGCCGACAGCTGCTAGGAATCGTCCTGTGCCATGCGCCATGCGACACAGCAATTGTAAGCTTCAGGTCACATTCGGACTGATTGGCTCCGCGTATGTGCATCCGGCCGGGTGCTATAGTCGATATCAGGGACGTGGGTCGGACTGTTGTGGCGGCGTGCACTGTGGTGGTTGAAGTTGTTGTATTTCTGTCAGTGAAAAGCATTAATACATAACCGTGGCCGCATCCCAATGTTATTGTGAATTTCAGAGGGAGTGGCCAGTCAGGAGGGCCCCATGTGGGTATGAATCCAGTGTCCAGTGGGATTGGCTAAGATTTCCGGCGATTGATAAACGCTTCTATGAAAGTAAACCTATTGAGTTATGAGGGGAGGTCACGTGACGGACCTGACCTTACTAAACTCTTGTGCAAACACGACACATACGAACGATAAGAAACCGACAGCTCTTCTTTCTGCCAAGTGTCATCTTTGTGTGAAGGATTTCTTGGCACTGAGTGTTCAGAAATTGCATTGTTTTTGGACTGTGCAAGTGTGCAGAGGCTCACGAGCGACAACATAGGTCAACAACCTGACGTACCTTAAATATGCGACCTGTACCAGAAGATCCAGCTTGATCAAAAGATTGGACGAGTCAAATTTCAGCTCTTTAGCTTAAAAGAATTTTGAGCTATCTTAAAAAACCGTCAGTGTGGCACCATATCGCCTCCCCGCGCGGTCGGAAGGTAAAAGTTCGCCGGCTCTAACTAAACAAATAGGCGTCGCATCGCAAATTCATTGACGGCGTTCGAAGCGTCGTTCAATTTACTTTCGAAACATATCCTAACATTAACATTTAACTGCCTAGCGCAATCTCCAACAAGCAAAAGTTCCGTGCACTCATCCTCATACAGTGTTAGCGGCCGCCAGCCGCCGGCCGCTGACCCACATTCGCGTCATCAGGGAATGCTGCAACTAATTTATTGTTTCCAACTTTTTTCCCGGAGCGTTCTACCTGGTTTATATAGCCTTGGGCTGGTCCGGCTGGTCCAAGGCTATATATATAGGCTGGTCTACCCTCCCCTTTGATCGCAACCCTCCCCGGCTAAACCACAACACAGCTGCCTCTCTCCCCTCTCTCCCACCCCCACCAGTACCGCCCGATCAAAACTTCGTGCCGCGTCGCCTCGCTGCCCCGCTGCTGTGGTCTTTAACTTCTCAATTCGCCGTAGTGTCGCCTACTTTGTCTTTTGCAGGTTACCAAAGCCGAAGCCGGCGACTCGCCCCCGCGGATCCGTCGGTGGCAGTCAGCTGGCGAGCGGCGGCGCGTCGCCGGCGGCCGCCGCCAGTCGGCCGATGGATACGGTGGGGTGGGGGTGTGTTCCTCAGCTCCTCGTGAATGTGCTCTCCGGGAGGCCTGTGTGAGTGACCAGCGGGCTCGGTTGTGGTCACCTGCCGTGCCGTGACGTGTTGAGACGTGCCATGGCGGACGTGGCCGTGCTGCGTTCGCCGCGTCGCGCGCACGACCTGACGCTGAGTGTGCCGCCGACCAGCAGCGCGGCTGTGAGTGCTGCCGTCAGCGTCAGTGCGGTCTCCATCAGCAGTCGTCCCGTCTCCGACGTACACATCGTGCCGATCGTACACATTGCCAACCAGACGGCCTCCAGTGACACCAGCTCGGTGGGAGCCGGCACGGTGCGCGGCCCTCCGGCGGCGCCGGCGCCGCGCACTCCCCCGCAGCGCCGCTCCATGGACACGCAGACGGAGGCGCCGGCCGCGCCGGAGCCATCGCGCGAGCAGCGGCGCCGGGAGCGCCGCGAGCGACGGGAGCGCGCCGCGCGCCGGCCGCCGCCGCCGCAGCCGCCGGCCGGTGGAGCGCCGCCGCAGCTGCCCGACCTGCTCAACTCGCACGTGCCGCCGCACGGGCCCACCAGCCACGGGCAGGCGCCGCCCGTGCCGCCGCCCTACTCGACACTCCCTCACGGCGCGACGCGGGGTCCGCCGCCGCCTCCGCCACCGCCGCCGCCACCCCCGCCGCCGCTGCCGTCGTCAGGACGGTGTCCGTATGTGGCGCCTCCCGGCTCTCCGCAGAGGACGGCGCTCTGCTTTGGAGATGGATATAACCTGGCCGGAGTCAGCGGGCGAAGGTGAGTCCCGCAGGCCACTGGCCGACGAAAAGCATGAATCGAGTCACAAGTATCACGCGCTGTCGGGCATTACTTGGGCCAAACAATATCGATTATCGATGGTATCTGCCATCGTTCTAGATATTTGTAACAAATATATCCAGTCATGTGACTGCAAAGATCTTCCATTTCAATATCCAACATTTGATGCTGCCTTATTGCGAATCTCGAATAAGGTTTCGGTCGCAATTTCCCTCACCCTACCATTATTGAGATTGAGATACCGCTCAGTAAGCCTCGCGATTTCGACCAATCTGCCGTTCTTTGATTGCATGATCAAACACGGAACAGTCACGGAACGTCCGTTCCCACGCTCTGCCCCCTATCCCTCCGCCCCCCCCCCCCCCCATCATCCCAGCTGGAGCGGTGTAGGGAGGCTGACGCTTCTCCGGTTTCGGGACGTCTCGTATGACTAACTGCAGCGTTCGGGAGAGTCTCACGGGGTGACAGAATGATAGAATCGTCGTGGGCTAGCAGTGGCGATTGGCAATGCTGTCGGGTAGGTACTCGAGGGAAAGTTAACGGGACTGAGTCAATTGAAAAGGAATGAAATGCCACCTTGTCAAATAACGCCTGGTAGGAAATGACAAAAAGAAAAATAATCGATTTATACCACTCAGGGCATCTGCAGAGGACGATGTCGTTTCAGTCGCGCTCGTCGATCTTCCTATTCCTCACTCTAGCGCTGCCTACATCAGAAGTGTCGCTCCAACCTCCCGCTGTCAAACCTTCTTTGCCGCTCCATCGGTCCCGTGGACCATCTCCTCGCGAGTAATTAGTCCTCGACCGGACACCTCCGGCTCCGCTCCACTTTCCTGAGGCGTCACCTCCGCTCGGCGCCTCCTCCACCGCGCCGTGAGTGCGCCAGGCGTGAGTTGGAGGCGTGAGTCGAGACGTGAGTTGAGACGTGAGTCGGAGGCGTGTCGGGCCGGTGCGGCAGTACTCTGTGCACACAGGAGGTCCCGTTACAGCGGCGCACCTCGGCCGCCGTCGGCACCGGTCTGGGTCACGTTCTGGCGTTACCTGACCCGCCGCCGCCGCTGCCGCCGCCGCCGCGTCACTTACGCCGCCCGCTGCGGCACTTTTGCCTCCCCTCGCCGCGCCGCGTCGTTTGTCGTCGCTGTTCCGGAGGCGAGGAGGGTAGACATCGTAAGCTAGATCAATGAGACCGGACGATTAATGTTTTGGTGGTTGAGCGACTGCTTTGACCAAGGCGGTGACGGGAACGGAGCATGTTATGAGAAGCCAGCAACTGGGGCGGAGCATACGAGGTCAACAGGGAAGACTTTGAATTGACGGCCGGTGCTTGTGAGCGAGAGCAGTAGGGTCGAATATTCAGTTTCCCTCGGCTTGTCCTGTTGACCACGTCGTACTTACATGAGTCACCGACAGTTACATTGGCGGGAGTGAGTCAAGTCTCCCTGTCATCGCTTGTCAAAGGAAATCGGGTCAAACTTGTGCCGCCTGCAGTCAGTCTCGTCTGTGCTCATTGTTTGCTAACCCTATATCCGCGCCTCTGCCTTTCCCGCATCGGTAGCTACTGTCAGCCTCGCCTTGTGTCGGCTGACCTCCCTATTTCCTGTCGCTGAGCGCGCCTCTGCTGCGTATGTTCCACCGCCGCTGAGACGGCATTCTCCCCTTTCACTCACTCCGGAGTACTCTCCTATAGCGGACACATGCAGCAAAGTATGTGATCATCCCTCAAATTTCCCCCCTAAATACCTCCCTGCCCTGTCATTCTCCCCACACCTACAACCTACCACAGCTCACCGCCCCCCCTTCTCTCGTACCTGGACGCGCCACTGCGCTGGTGCCCACCGGGCCTACATCCGCCCACTGGGTCTGGACATGTGTGGCCGTCGTGTGTGCCTGCCTCTGTGCCAACCAAAGCGACCGATTCTGACCGCACCTGCCGCTTCTGTCCGCGCTCTGTGAGATGGAAACCAGTTGGGGGGGGGGGGGGGGGCTGGGGAGGGGGTATGGGTGTAATGGGGTGGGGTGGTGTAGGAGTGCTCACTGTTCAGTGCGGGAGGTTACGTGAATGGGCGTGGTGGATAGGTCGGTGGACTCGGTGTTTGAGTATGGGCGCGGTATGGGCATTGAGGTGTGTGACTATATGGGCACAGTCGCCGTCCGTGCTGTGTGGATGTGCTGCTTCACGGTTCACAGCCTCTCGCCGCCCGTCCCGCTGCTGGTTTTCCCACTGTGGAGATGTGAAGTGGCATGTTTTCAGCTGTCAGCGAAGCGACAGAGAATGGGACAGGGCATGGATAGAGAATGAAACAGGGCGCTGGTGAGGGAGAAGCTTAAAGAGGAGCTAAAGAATGGGATAGGTCGGCAGTGGGTAGGAATTCTGACGTAAACTACTCTCTGACGGACGTCTCACGGCCGTCACTTCAGCCTGAGTGTGATAATAACACCAATCGGCCCTCCGAGGCACCTTGAAGCACTTCACACTTGGAGCGCAGCCCGTCAAAATGCTGTCATTACGTCTGTGTCGAGCTGAGGTCACGTGATATTGACATCACAAGGTCCCAGCGTCGGAGAGGCCGTGCGTCCTCCCCCTATCGCCTCTGCGTGGCTCCGTCTTTGTCAGGGGTGAACCAGCTAATGGACCCGGGGCTGCGTCGGAAGGGATGACGCGGCGGGGAGGCCATTTGGTTGGGGATCGCTCCACCCGAGGAAGGGGATGGCTCCACCCGAGGTCGGGGAGCCCGGAGCGCCGCCCCGCGAGGGTGTCCTGTATCAATGTGGCGCCGATACTCGGTGGCTCATCCGGTCTTGGCTCCTCACAGCGGGAGCTCTGGGGTACGGCGACATATTCCTAGGGATAATGATAGGATTGTAATACAAACGAACCGATAATTAGTGGAGGAATGGGGGCAAGCGGGATCGATTGCAGACGCATATGGTCATCAGAGATGTGCGACTTCTGTCCAGCGTTGAATCGCGCTCCTGGCTCTAGCCTATCAACTTCTCAGATTCTGAAGACATTTGACGCTGTTTCGGGCTTCCTTAGCGGCCCTTGCGGGCTGCTACCTTCTGGTGCCGAGGGTACCGTTTATAGTTGTAGTCCGTCCAGCTGGTATTTCTGTCAGGTTGTCCCCATCCTGTCGCATAGAAACCAGCTGTGGTATCAGCACACGAGCTCAAAGTGGTTTGGCAACGTGAACCAAGCGTGCACTGGACTGCCTCATCACGAAATACGGCCTCGGTTTTGCAAGGCGCTCACACAATATGCACATGTGGTAACGCATCTGACCTAAGTGCCCAACCACGCCAATGTGATTTCTTGAAGCGGCACATGTGTTGAGCTTCGGAGCTCCGCCAATGGCGTTCGTGAAGCTTTCCGAGATAATGCTCTTATGCAAATGACCCTGTCCCAAATCGATATCGGATGTAGCGGCCCCGCCTCACACGTGAAGATAGTCTGTCCTCCGCACCATTGTCTTCACGACCAGAGGTCGGCCGAAGCCTGGCTTCGCCCTTGTCCTACACCATCCAATAAGTGGTCACAAAGGGACCACAGCGACCTTGCGTTCCAGACGGGCTCTGCCTGTGTTTGGGACGCACTGACGCTCGGTGGCCGGCGGACGGCCGGACCTGCCCCCGGGGACGCTGGAACCCGCGAGGAGTCCATGTATATTACGCCGTAAATAAGGAATACGGGCGCTGGGAACCGAGGTCGAAGGCCATGCCGATCTCCCGCGACTACATGGCGAGAGATGGGTGTTTTACAGAGGGGAAAGTGTGGTGCACACTGCATACCTAATGTTAGGCGTTTAGTCGCCCATAGTTACTTTTTCTATTTGATAATTTGTTTCATCGAGCTCATTTTAACGGTCAAGTCTTACTTTTGATTCATCCCTTTCTCCTAAAAGTTAGATTCTACTCGATGTTACTACTTACTAAAACACGTTCAAAGGCTTGGCTAGCTATTTGTACCGCTTCTCGCGTACCTCTCATGATTTTCATGACGAATATTTTTCTTGGAAGCCAGTTTGAGACAGGTGTTCTGCAACGTGCAATCTTGTGGTCCACGCGCTGCCCGCCTGCCTCAGCTGCAGCCAGCAACAAACGCCCAACACCCTCTGATTACACTGCTCTACAAATCTCCTTCTTCCAACTACAATCTTCCAGTGTCAACGACCGTCTCGGTCAGTCCCTCAGCAGCCACGACCCGAAGCTCAGACGCATTCGGCGAAACTTCCTCTCATCCAACCACTGCCCGGAGTGAAAAGTTTATCGGAGTGGTGTGAGCGATTGAAGGCGTTCGTTTTCGCATTGGAGGGCCTCAAAACGAACGTGGAGTTGCGGAGTTTGGGAGAAGCTTGGGATCAGATTTTCGCACCAGGTCGATGGTCGCTCGAGGTGGTCGCTGTTCGCACGAGGTGGTCGATCGAAGGACGCTCGATGCGTTCTTGCGTGATGAACAGACAAGTGAGTCTGATTGGCTGGCACGGTTCCGCCAGTGGTTCCGATTGGTCGACAAACTCGCAAACAGCTGCGGTGATTGGCCGCATCCTCAATCATGCTGCCTGTTTGGAGACTTCCCATCACGCTGCTCTGTGGGTTTTGGTCTTCCTCTTTTGGGCAGTTCGACGGAAATTCGTTATGGTTGATTTTCAGATCGTTTGTTGATCCGGGAAAGCCGATTAGCCGAGCAAATGATGACAATGAGGCATATTCAGGATTTAGTTGCATAGAGCGTATGATCAACATAAAAGTTGACCTTGTGTCCCTCAAAACGTCGCAAGCCCTCGAAATCCATAATGCTTGTTGCTTACCCCAATGAAGATTTTACTCCCCATCACATCAACCATCTTCAATCACCTCTCTGCGCGCATTGCCCTCCGCATCTTGGTTTCACCTGTTCTCTCGCCTCTTCCTTTCCCGGACCGTGGCCGCCACAACTGACCCGCCCACCTCACCCCTGACCTGACCTCTTCAGTTCCGTGACC